AAGTAAAACCCTAAAGACCCAGGGTTAAACCTGAGGTTACCTCACTAACCCAAAATGCTGCTTCATGGACAGGCCTCAGAGCAAAAAAGATTTGACTTATACTCATTAGGTGACCAAATACGTGACTCTTAAAGGAATGACAGCGTTGCTCCACAAATCCCAGATATGTACTGGTGACCACAACTTGTTTCTGCTCCTCCAAAGTGGTCAAAACAATCTGCCATTGCACTTTTAATTACTTATATTGAATCATTTCTGGACCTTTTAGGGTTTCCCTTAAAAAAAAAAAATCAGAAAAATTAGTTACCCTTTCAGAATTTTGCCACAAATTTGCAACAAGGTCATATCTAAAATACAAATTAGGTTCATGGCAAATAGTTTGGTTTGACGTTTGGCAATGTCGTCATAAATTTACAGCAAATGGGGTTTGTGGGACTGCAAACCTGCCTGAAGGTTTTCACAGAGTTAACTCAAAGTCCACCATGTTTGCCACAGATCTAGTTTGCATATTTAAAAAAAATAAGACCTTATTGCAAATTTGAAAACTATGGCAAACATAAACTGACATGTATGCCACTAATGGCAAACTTGCTTTCAGAAGGTAAGTAGAAGTTTAGCAGTCCTGGCTAACTGTTGGCAAACCATCGGAGAACATGCCTGCTAGAACCGACAAACCTCAGAATTGCCAGAAAATTGATTTGAGTTTGCCAGTAGTTGCCAACATCAGCAAACTTGTGGTTGTTATGTAGCAAAGAAATTAGTTTTGCAGAAAACGTTGCCACAACTTTGCCTGCTTTGCTTGTGTAAAGGTTAAGCTCCAGAGAAGTTAGGTTTTTAATATGACTTATGAAGTCCATTTTAACCTACTTTGCTGGTACCAACCTCTAAATTGAACCATTTCTGTTGTTGTTCTGAGCAGAGCGCTGCTGCCGGAGCATTCGTTTTTGATGAGAGGATTCATGATGTCTTTCTGCTCTTCTATCAGGAATGCGTTGTGTTTCCTGTGGATTTAAAGGAAATATTCTCTCTTGAAATAAGAATCACCGAGATAACAGAGAGAATAATTCACATCCAGCAGCATCTTTTCCTCTCCTTCAAAAAGGTCTCTTCTGACTCACTAGTGTTCTGCATCTTCTGGAGAATCTGACGTACAGCTGCATACCGTAACTATGTAAACACACAGTCATGAAGATATAAGAAGAGCACGTTATATAAGACGCCACCGCGCTTTGACTCCCTTCAGCTCGGTCAATAATATCCACTGGGTCCTCTGGTGAGTCATCCCTGCGAGTTATCAGATTAGGTGATCCGACGTGTCATCTGTATGTGCTCTGAACAGTCTCAACAAAACATTTTATGTTGTTGCAGTGGGAGTATCTGTTTTCCCTAATGGTCGTCGTTCATAACCTTTGGACTGTTTTCTTTTTTTCACCTTCTGATGCTACAGCAGTGGAATCCGATCTGTATCACTTAATCTATCCTCCCTGCATCACGTTCTGTCTCATCCACTGTGTTCTCTGATGCATACCCTAAAAAGGACAGGAGGGGTGAAGGATTTGGACGTGGGGTCGGGGGTGTGCGTCGGTCACAGAGGGGTATATACATGCCCCGTAACTTACAGAGGCGTATGGTCTCTGGGTTCTGTGGATGCTACTGCCCTTCTGTCTTTTCTCCTTCCTCTTTGCTGCCTGACTGGAAGCAAACATGACTTTCTACAGACACTCAGGTAAAATGTGAAGCTGTTTACAGCACTGAGTGGTAAATAAGTCTTTGGATATATTCTTTCTTCTTCTTCTTCTTCTTCTTCTTTTTTTTTGGGAATCAGGTGCAAAACCTGTGTGTGTGATTGGCCTGCTTTCAAAATTTCAGCTTTAGGAGCTAAGAAAAAAAAAAGGGCCTGTTATCAGTGTTGCGGCAATGCGTCTTCAGATAATCCAGTGGATTTTGAATGGTTTATTTAGCTTGAGGAGTAGGAGAATTTTTCCTATCCTTAAAAGAACTGTTAATCCTTCGTTTGTCTATTTTTTTTTAAAAAAATCACCAAATTTGAAAGTGCATGTTTTCACTGACAGCCCAAGGCCCACTCAGGTTTTCTGAGCATTTGTTGATGTGTAACTCAATCAAAAAAACCTCCTGTGCAAAATCGAAGGTGGCAATCTATCAAGTCACAATTTTAATATCCAAAATCTTCCCTTCCTGGCAGTGTGGTATCTTAAATTCTATTCCGTCGTGCTGTTTGGTACTGAAGCTCTAATGCAGAGTGCTTCTTTTTTTTGTTATGCAGTTATTTCTCACATTGAGTTCTTTGTCATGGATTTAAAAGGATTTTTCATTTTAGGGTGCAAAAGTTCATTAACAACATAATCATATGGTCACAGGTCCTCTTATTTAAGCGCTGAGTAAACTTAAGTCCACTGAAATGTCTTGTATGCTCAGTTGCCAGCTAATAGGTACCCCTAGTTGAAACTAATGCAGTTTAATACAAAAGTCCAGCATTAAGCAGTCTCAGAGATTTGTTGATTCTATCATCCTTTTGGAAGATCAAGTTTGAGGTGTTGGTGAGCTGTACTTCACTATGCAAAGAGGTTTCATTGATATAAATGGATAGACATAATAATAAAAACACCTATCAGTATAATGCAATGCAATTCAACAGCCCCAGTTTTATTAGGCTACATTAGTTTTGGTTACACCTGTCTAATTAACAACCTAAGTGGCAGCTGAGATGTCTATGCTGACATATCATACTCACATAAAGACTAAACTACTTATGATGTTTTATCAGATGACTTTCTAATGAATATTTTAACATAAAAAGGGGGCCTTAAAGTTTATAAATTACCTTTTAACCCTCCTATCAGCTTCAAATTTACTGACATTTTTTTAAATCCTTGGGTTCAATTTGACCCCAGCAACTTAAACCTCCAGAAATATCATAACTAAAATTGTTACCCAAGTTTATGTGTAAATATCCCTTTAAATAAAACTGAAAAAATTGTTAAACATTGAATGAGGTCAAACTGACCCCAAAGATAATAGGAGGGTTAAGTCATGCAAAAGATGATGAATTCTGAAGTTTTGTTAACACTATGAACAACTTTATTGAGCTTTTTTTTTTTTTTTTTTACTGTGGTCAAATAAATTAAATTGGACTAATGTTTTGCAATGATATCATCATCAAAAAGAGCATCTTGTAGTAAAAATCTGTGGTCTAATATTTGAAGTTCTCTTTCAGTTGTTCCTTGGCGCACGTTGAATTGCGTACGAACAGCCAGTTCCAGAGTTTGCAGTGTCCTTTTTGGAAAATGTTGGATTATAATGAGGAGGCCTAATTTCGAGAGTGTCATTGTCCAAGACAGAGGCAGAGAACAGAACAGTTTAATAACTACTGTTCTGGCTGACGTGCTGTCAGGCCGACTTTAATTCCACTCTATCCTGTCTTTGACTCATTTCTCAAACTGCTCCTCATTTTGACCTTTCTCTCTAAACAAGACTTCTCCCCAAAGGGACCACAGTGGTACACTCCTCTTCCTCCACAGCTGAGTGTCAGTACATACCATGCCTGCTTGACAGGGGGCAGCTGTCACTCTGCAACAAAAGATTAAAGCACTGGACATGTTTCAGCCACAATAGCTGCCTAGTCCCGGTAGTCATCACTCTGCATCCCTGCATTTGTTCCATCTGGAAGGTCAATGTACTTTAAATCGAGAGTCCAAGTTTAAAATAGATCCGTGAGCCAGCCGGGCTCAGTACTAAGTACTGTGTGTGTGTGATTTGACAACGTTGACCCTGTTGGACTGGGTGGGTTTTTCCTATTCCACAGCACGTAGGTTGGAATAGGTGGAGTTGGGCGTGCCGGCGCTCAGCCCTCAGTCTGCCCTTTATCTGGGGAGCACAGGTGCAGATAGCTCCCCTGCTCCAAACCCTCTCCCATCCGTCCATCCATTCATCCACACACACAGCAGGGGCACATACCACGCTCCGGGGAGGCTCATCTCCTTCACATAGCTCTTTACCACATCCCACTTAAATAGCTCCCAGTCCCGTTTCATAAATATTTTCCTTGTTCCTATGGTTACTGGGACAAAATGCCATTCCTCCCATTGTTTCCTCCATTGCTCCTGTTGTACTGACTGGACTAAAACGATATCTGTTGCACTGATAAATCGATTTCACTAAAGTTCACGTGCTGTTCAGCTGTCCTCGCTGGCATCCCGCGAGACAGAGAAGCTTTAAAGTGATGCAGATAAAGCTTAATATGTCCACGCTCCACCCTACGCACAGCTATTCTGAGAAAACTGCTCCCCGTGGACGTCGCCTGTGATGGGAAGGCAGGAATGATGAAGTGAGGCAACTCAATTTACGTTGTTTACAAGAACATCTAATAAAAATGACCTGGGCAAAATGCAGACAAAAGAGCCAGCGTGGGCCAGACTCCGGGGAGGAGGGAGAGTCGAGGTGGGGGGTGAAAGGAATGAGTCGAACGGTCTAAAAATATGACCTAAGCTTTCCAGGGAGAACTTGATAAAAAGTCTGCAGGCCAAGAAGCACACAGACATCTGTGGGCTGCTTTCTTACCTCACTCACACTTCTCTCATCAGTTTGGTATGCTGCTGGTCGAGCTCTATCTCACAGTTTCTTAATGGGAAAGCAGAAACTCATAACTCCCCTATTGTAGACTTAATCCAATTTCTGCATGTATTTAAAACTTAGAGATCCGATATAAAGTAACTGTCTTGAGCATCATTGCACTGTTCACCGCACTCCAGCTCTTTTCTTTGTTCCTTGTTTCTTTTGTTCTTTTTATCTGAGCTGCAGCCATGTGGTGCTTCAAGTGCTATATAATTAAAATGCATTTGCAATTGCTGAATGGGACCCTCTAGCTTTGACCTGCATTGTTCAGCGAGTCTCGGCCGCGTTAGAAAAGGCAACACTGTCCCCATCTGGTGTTTAAAGGAAACATCATGCTCAGTGAAAACTCTCCTCTTGTGCTTTTACAGGCCCCAGGAGTTATCTGACCTCCACCATGACCGACCGCTTCGACTGCTACTACTGCCGTGACAACCTGCACGGGAAGAAGTACGTGAAGAAGGATGACAAGCACGTGTGCACCAAGTGCTTCGAGAAGCTCTGTGCCAACACCTGCGCAGAGTGCAGACGCCCCATTGGTGCCGACGCCAAGGTGATGATACGGTTATTTTTAAATTACCACTTGCAACATGGACATATATTAATATAGTGCAAATGTTTAACATGCTTAGGAAGTCAGAAAACCACCTTGTCTTGTCACTATCTCCAATGTTTTTGCTTGTTTTTAAGTCACTGATTCCTGGTGGAGTCCGAGGAGAACTTTAAAATAAATACTTCAGCGTCACATTAACCCTCTGAACCACAAAGCTGCTTTGAAAGATGTGATTTCTTTTTTTTAATTACCAAAGTGACACAATTTACCAGAGCAGGAAACCGTAAAAAAAAAAAAAAACAGAAAAAAACAAAGAATATTGAAGTTTTCAGCTCTCTGATGGTCCATGAACATATGTGTAACATATGGTACAATCAGAAAATCTCCAAATCTAACTTTAAGATTTTCTTATATCATCAAAATCATTTTATACTACATGTGTGATTTAAAATGTAAATGCAAATGTAAGACATTTTCTCAAACCATATTCTGCAAAAACTCCTCAGCATAACTTAAAGTCATCAGTGACTCTGCTGTGACAAACACGACCAACAGGCTGCGTTTACACGCAACAGATAAGACACAAGTTCTGAAACAAATTCAAAATGTAAAGATTTAGTATTTAGAGAACCCATTTTTCCAGTGTTGGTTTCACCTGTGGGTATTTGATAAATGTTGTGCATATTAAATTAGACTTTTGTTTTTTTTTGTAAAACAAACAATTAAAAAAAAAGAAAGATTTATGGAATTCTAATTTGTCATATTATGCGGAAGACATTTTTGAGTTTTCTCTGTTTCTAGCCAGGGTTGTGGTGTTTCCATGGGGTTACAGAACTTTATATTGCAGTAAAAAATGAGCCCACAGTGAGCAAAAACACCTGGAGGCTGCAATGATGTTCAGAGGGTTAAATATTACATGCAACTACAATGTTCTTCTGTTAATTTAATCATACTTTATTATTGTTTTTTTATATATATATATACACGGATGAACAACATGTCGATTTATGATCCACTCACAGGCTCCTGTCACAGCAAACATGTTTAGTTGTAACCAGGAAAAGCATGTGTTAATAAGATTTACACCAGCTGTGTTCATTTCTCTGTGACACTACATACATAGTAGACATTTAAATTAGTGATGCACGATATTAACATTTCTGGCCCATACCAAAATCCAATATTAAGATTTCTGATCTCGCTGATCACTGATATTACTGATGTCCATATTTAATTTAGCAGTTCAAACTGTAAAATGAGTATAAGTAAGCTCTGTAAGAATGTGAAAACTATTCAAAAGCAGCTCATACCAAATTAGACCACATAGTCTTCTTTGTTACATCACACAAGTAAGAGATATTTTAACATATTTAACGTTCAAGTCCATCAACATTTAAGTAAAAACCATCTGTCAAATAGCAGCAATGTCAAATGTAGAGATGAAGGCACTAATGTTAGACGATCATCGGTTTTTCACATCAGCTTAATTTGTTCATCGGACCGATACCGATATATGGGAAAAAACGCTAATATCGGCCGATACCGATGTGGTCACCGATATATTGTGCATCCCTAATTTAAATGGATTTAAATGTCTACTGTGTATGTTTTTGTTTTAATACAAACACAGATAATAAGTGAGAAAGTAAAGAAAAGACTCACTTATACAAACTTATGTTCAGTGCACTCTCAGGCTTTGCTTTAATGCCTGTCTGTCATCCAGCAGGCCTCTGCTTCCAGGTTCCTCTCACCACTCAGTCACAGACAGTTTAATGTGAGAAGAGATGTGTCATTACTACTAAGGGGGCCTAAATACTTCATAACACATTTTTACTGTCTAAGTCTTCCAACTCCTTCACAGTTCACCACATCCCAGTTCACTCCATCTCCACCTTAATGCTTGCCACATGGGTTTGTTCACTATTCTGGCCCCGAGCCTCAGTCCACATGATGAGTAAACAAACTCCACTTCAGTGAGGTCTGCACGAGGGCACAGTGAGGGCACCTCTGCTCACCCTGCACCTCCTTTTTGCTCAGGAGCTGCACCATAAGAACCGCTACTGGCACGAGGACTGTTTCCGCTGTGCCAAGTGCTACAAGCCGCTGGCCAGTGAGCCGTTCAACGCTCGCGACGATGGCAAGATAATGTGCGGCAAGTGTGGCTCCCGGGAGGATGGAAACCGGTGCCAGGGCTGCTATAAGGTGGTCATGCCAGGTGAGTTTGCTAGTATACTTTTTATTATATCAAGCCCTGACAACCTTTTTGTTAGTGCTTTCCTGCTATGAGTGATGTGATGATCTGCAAAAGCAAATATTTTTCTACCAAAAAAAGTAAGAACAACACATGAAAACATTAAAATAAACCATTCTTCAAACATTACAAAGATTTCTTTTTAATATAAAAGGTCTATCACAAAATAGAGGGTCTTGGATTTTAGAATTTCACTGAGTGAAAAGAACATCAAGCATTAGTGAAGAGGTGGAGCAAGCTAATGCGAAACATATTTTGTCTATAAAATGTATTCACCCCCTCTTGCTAAAAAATCTTCAAATGTGTACCAAAAATCAACATAAATGTACCAAAAAAGACTCTTTCATGTCAAAGTGAAAACTGATTTCTTCAACATTTAAACTGATTGCATAAGATTGTTGATAGATCTCAATCAGCCTTTACCCCATTCTTCTTAACAAAACTGCTCAAAATCTGTCAGGTTACACAGGGATTGTGAGTGAACAACCCTTTTAAAGTTCAGCACTAATTCTCAGTTGGCTTCAGGTCTTGGCTCTGATTCAGCCACTCCAGAACATTCACCTCGTTGTCTTTAAATCACTTCTTTGGATGTACACGTCAAGTCATTGTCTTGCTGATAAACAAATCCTCTCCCAAGTGGCACTTCTCTGGCAAACTGCATCAGATTGTCATACTGAATGTTCCTATACTTAGCTACATCCATTTTTCCCTCTGCCTTCACAAGCCTTTAAAGGCCTTCTGCTGAGAAACATCCCCACATCATGATGCTGACACCACTGTGCTTCACAGCTGGGATGAACAAATCTTCTCCAAAGTCGCAAATTTCTTAAATAAAAATAAATTTAAAAGGAAAACTCTACACTAGCTAGGAGGAAACAATACTTGTGTTGTGGTGTTTTAGGATCCCAGAACGTGGAGTACAAGAACAAGGTGTGGCATGAGGAATGCTTCACCTGCTTTGAGTGCAAGCAGCCAATCCGCACACAGAGTTTCCTGACCAAGGGTGAGGACATCTATTGTGCTCCCTGCCATGACAAGAAGTTTGCCAAGAAATGCTTCCACTGCAAGCAGGTACAAGCACAGACTATATCATTGTTGGCTACCGTTTACTGGTAGCTCAGTATGTATAAAATAAAACTGTGGTGCAGACGGTTCACTTTGCCCCACATTTAGCAGATTGAATGTTGTGTTTGACATCACAATCAAGGTATCTTTCTGCCTCTTTAAGGCCATCACCTCTGGAGGGATCAGCTACCAGGACCAGCCCTGGCACTCCGAGTGTTTTGTGTGCAAGACCTGCCATAAGCCTCTGGCAGGAGCTCGCTTCACTTCGCATGAGAACAACGTTTACTGCGTGGACTGCTACAAGACTGATGTGGCCAAGAAGTGCCACGGCTGCAAGAACCCGATCACAGGTCAGGGCAGCATCAATCTTGTTTTTATGAAATGAGTTGGAAATAAACCGTGGGATTGTTTTGTATGCGTGAAAAATGAATGATGGGATGAGTGGGAAATGCTAAAATGACGTATTTGTTTACTTTCTTTGTCTGGATGGTTCCTGCACAATTAGAATGAAGACAGTTGTGGACCATAATGCAATGTGGTCACAAAATACACTGTTAGAAACACTGGAAGAGATAGTTTCAGTATTCTACAACAGAAAAAGTGGATCTTCTGGCAATGGTTTATTTTAAACTGTATTAGTAAGTAATAGCAAATGATTACTATTTACAATGAGAAAAGGGGCACTGAATTGGTAATCTCCACTTAATTATTGCCAATTATCTTTCAGCATATTCAGCATAACCCTTTTTTTTGTTGTAAGACAGCCCAAAGCAGGTCAGCCAAGCATGCAAAAGTGAAATTTGTCTTCAGGCAAGCATACAATATGAAGGGCATAATGTTTCCAATAATACATGCCTACTAAATTAATAATTACTTGAAATTTTCTCTCAAGAAAATCCCCATCGTCTGCAGAATTACTAATCAGTCACCAAATTATTTTTAAAAAGATGCTATGAAACTATTTGTATCAATGAAAATCAAATGTTGGGCTTTTCTAACTTTGCCACTTTGCCCCTTTTCAGTTCACTAAAAGTCAAAGTATATTCATTCTTACATCATTTTAGTCATTAAACTACACAATTCAGGCAGTTCACAGCGCCACAGGAGCATCACCATACGACAATTCAAACGTACTTGTTTAAATAGACCCATAAAGCCTTTAAAACAGCTTTAATTTCAGATTTAAGATTTTATATAAGATTAAACACTCCTCAGTGCTGAATTCTAAACTAAATGACAGAGATGTTTTAAAGAACAGTTGAGATATTTGTTATCTTGAAGAATCCTTACCTGACAGATGTCCTCCTGTCTCCGTCTTTGCAGGGTTCGGCCATGGCACCAATGTGGTGAACTACGAGGGATACTCCTGGCATGAGTACTGCTTCAACTGCAAGAAGTGCTCCCTCTCACTGGCCAACAAGCGCTTCGTCATCAATGGAGATCATATTTACTGCCCCGACTGCGCTAAGAAGCTGTAAAGTGCACAGTCAGCTGTGCCGAGGGTCATTGCTTAAAGTGGAATTCCACCAAAACTGGCTTTTACAGTTACTCTAAAAAATAAAACAAAACAAAACGTAACCCACTTTGGGATTTTTGCGGCATTGATACTGAAGTTCAACATAATAAAATGTGATTCTGAATTAGCATAAAAAATACCAATACTCAGTTTTGGTGAAACTCCTCTTTGCAAGGCTGACAGACTCAAGGTTACTTCAACTAAACATGCACTAGCTTTCATTTATCTACACGTTACTGCAGCCTGTTTCAGTGTCCACAGCTGGATACTATCATGGCAGCAGAAATTCTTTTGTGGGATTTTGATTTGCACTATTAGTCTAATCTTATCTAGGATTCTGTGCAGCCTTTATGGGACAAAAAAAGTCTCTTCAGTGCCTTACTGGAATCTTTCAGAGAGTAAAATGCTTTTTACATGCCTGCTGCTGCTGCTGCTGCTGCTGCTCATACATACCAGCTTTGATCAATAATCTGTTACATCTCTGAGTGTTTGAATGGATTATTAGAATTTCAAAAATGTTAAAGAGTGAATTGAAAATACAAATGGAGAATGATGCTGAATATAAACTGCTCATGTATTTGAAACTTTATGAGTGAAGCTCAATGAAAAACAAGAATAAAAAGGAAGAGATGAATCCTGCTTTTCTTTACAGCGACAAATGAAATCACGACAAAGGAATACTTTGCAAGTCTTTATTGTTTTAACAGTCTGTATCATCTCAGTACACTTTAGATATATTTACAGTACAAATTTTATTTGTGGACAGGGCATTGTTAGTAAATCTTCCAGAGAAATATTCATATTCACAAAATTGCCCTGGCTGGGTAGACTGATTGTCGAGGCCGAGGTAAGGACAAGCTGTCTTGGTTGACTGTGATACAATAAAAATACTAAATCTCAATCTAAGGCACCGTTCTACCCTATCATAATAGACAACGCTGAGGACTAAGAGCTGTCAGCTCAGTAGTCGAGCCCTCAAAGATGCAGCAGGACCTGGAATAGGTACAATATCTATTCAAGCAGCAACTACAACAGCCCCCCAAACAGGTGCTACTCACGAGTGGAAAGTGGAGTAGGAAAGATTTGAGGGAGAAGTTCGGGTATAGGCAAGTTCTGGGTTATGAATGAGACTCCTAAAACATCTGGATGAGAACAAATCACAGATCCACACACAAATTACTGTTTTCTTCCTGAAATATCACACACAGCTTTGCTAGGAGTCTGTACAGTAAAGCTACTCCTCAGTAACCATTCCTTAAACATAGCAAGCAATTTGCGACAGTGCAAAGAGTCTCATGTTTCCTAGATGAATAATGTATGAAAGCTAAAAGCGAGCAGCTCTGAGAGACGTGGTAAATAATGCAGGACGGTTTATGGAGTCTGTTACATTCTTTGAGCTTATTAATCAAAGCTAGGATCTGAAAGCCCAGAGTCTTTATATACAGAGAGATTTTAGTCAGCCAGCAGAGAACAAGGCAAAAAAATCAAGGTCCCCAAACCTTGTGCTTGGACTATTCAAGCAAAGGGAATTTCAAGATTTCAATACAGTTCATGAAACATCAAGAACAGACAGAAAACATTATAGAAAACAAGTCTGAGCTATGTCATATTGTGTTTGGTGGACGTGCCCTCCTCATACGACAGTAGAACAGTTGAAACCTGAGCTGATATGCCTACCATAGCTATTCAACAACATCCTCCCACATCATTTTAAATGTGACATTAGAAGCACCGGCAGCCGCGACTCATATCATGTGTTGAACATGTCACTAAACACCGAAACAACACTTCTCGTCATCCGGACTCACTTCGTCTTTCCGAGGCAATATTAGGAATTCGAGCTTGCGACTATAGGTCTGAAAGCTTAATTAACGCAAACACAGTTACACACACCATATATCTTGGGAAACATGCAGTAGGTCCCCGCTTGGCCCCTTGTTTTACAGAGCTCTTATGAGTGTTTAATGTAAGTTCTGAAAAGTCTCCAGGCTGCCCAAAGCCAACCTGACAACTCCATCGCAGGGCACCGGTTGAACCGAAACTTCACAAATAAGCACAGAGACTTCAATTATCCACATCCTGTGCCACCCCCTCCCCCATCCTACACATGGCTTCATTTGCCTAATACTGATTATATACACAATACAATAACACTTAAATATATGTAGAAATGTATTTTCATATATAAACAAACAGCCAAATTTTTATACTATAAAAAATAGTTGAAATGAGTTCTGTAAGATGTAGCAGCTAGTGTGACGGGAATTTTAGAGTAAAGAAGCAGAATCACTGACGAGGCCACGCCGGTGAGAGAACGGTCATCGAAGTGGACGTTGTAGTTTCTGTAAAGCTAAAACCAAGTTTGATTTCTGGTTTTAGCAAAGGTGAACTCCGGACATTATGAAAGAATAGTTAAACGTTCAAGTTCAAGTTCAGGAACATACCGTGATGAATGAAACCAATGGGTTTTGCCTGTGCTTTGAGTTAGTGTGTTACAGCTTCAGGTTATTGTGTGGTACAGGTGCAGTGGACAATAAAACCAACTCAGCTCTCATGTAAATTACAATGGTGTTAGTAAACATTAATTCTATATACATATGTAAAAAATAGCAAAAACCTAATATGACCATGAGCCCCAAATCAACACACCGCTGAAACTCGGTTTTGTCATGAATCTCAACACTTTTCACCTGTAATGTAACAGTCGTGCTACTGACGCCCTCTAGTGGCCGAAGAAGAAAACACAACACGAGGTGAGAAATTTTGGGACACAATCATGAAAAAAGGGGCTGAAAGGGCAAATGAAGTGAAGCGTGATTCCACTCACATGACGGGAGGTTGCTAAACTGTGCGTGTATGAGCTGCAGCACAAACATTTTAGTATATTCGCACTTAAAAATCCATATTTGGGCAAAAAATAAATGGTAAGGCCATATTTGCTGGATGCTACGAAAAGCAGCCGGTCAAGTAAATTTCGATGAATCACATGCAAAACCTAGGATGTTATCCCGACCCAAACCCCGACACAACAGAATGTTTCCTCCATTATTTCACGATATAATTCACACAGCCTAATGTGCATGTGTCCTGGAATATTCTCATATAAGAGAAGAAGAAAAAAAAAAGACTAAACATATGATAACAATAATTACAATAACAAAGAAGCCAAAATTAATAAATTACAACAACGCACCCCTGACAAGGACAAAATTCTTAAAAAACATCATCAAATCGGACACAACATTGACAAAAAATTTTGCGAAGAACTAAACACAAGAGGAAGAGGAAAGAGACCTGGAGCAAGCATGCTGAAGGAAGATACAGAATTTCCCTGAAGCATAATGTTTTTTGTTTTCTTTTAAATATATAATTTAATATACTTATTTCCTCATCATGTAGGGTGCAAATGTAGCACTTAGGGTGTCTTTCCACTTCACCTTGTGCTCCTTCCTCTGGAATAGGAGGAGGAAGAAACGGTTTGGAACTGATGGAGGATTTTTTTTTTCTTAAGAGCTCAGCTGGACATCAACTTTCGGAGTGCAACAGTAAGAGGATTCTCAGCGATGGCTGCAGCATCACATCTCTATGGATACACAAGAAAGAAGAGTTACAGTCTATCACGAAGACACACATTGTCAAGATCTAAGTACTAAGAACTGACTCCTCACCTGACAAGGCTTCTATGGGTTGATTAGAGGAATGCAAGGTATTGATGGGGGCTCCCTTGTCTTCGAAGGCTACCCTGGTCCCATCCGAGCTCTCGTCACAGTTGATCTGGTTACAGTCCTCTGTCTCGATGAGGGGTCGGGTCTTGGAGTGCACGTTGAGGTCGATGAGTTCCTCAAAGCTCCACTGGTTGGGCTTACCGTTGAGGCCTGAGACCAGCCCCACCTTGGTGGATTCCTGCTCATTCAGGAACTCGGAGCCCTCGACGAGGCGGCCCTTCGGCACCAGACTGGAGAGAGGGAAGAGAAAGTTAGAGGGGGGAGGTTAGGAAAGTGATTGGGGAAGTGAAAAGGCAGATTTCTCACAGCACAAGCCAACTTTGTTACAGAGTGAGAGTTGGAGAAGTGAGTGCATGATTACAGACAGAAATACAGTCCAATAAGGGATATGATAGATGTTATTCTATGTATTTCAACCAACAATCCCCACAAAAGGACCCAAACCAACAATATGTGAATTTTCCTACTGCAGCACTCAGCTCCAAGCAAAATCATTCCTAACTTAGAATAGCCTTGAAAGGGGCTCACAAATATATAGCTCCTTTTTTTTTTTTAAATGCACTTTTCTAAACACGTTGGGCATTAGCAGTCGTACCGACTAAACTCCATCTCACCATAAAGACCATGGTTTCATGTTATTCCAGTAGAGCACTTTGATTTCAAGCTGCAGGCTCACTTGACGTTTCTGTAGCATCCAACAGTAGAATAAGAGGCAGGACCTTCAGATATCAGGAGGTTTCTCCAATAAAAAGGCCTTTTTTTTTTCTTTCCATGGCTAAAGCGCTTACTAAAAGGGAGTCATTTGGATTTGTTGGGTTTTTCCTCTATAATATAATGTAGTATGATCTTGACCTTCCCACCCTGAGATGACTTACACTGAAAACTGAATTCAACTGCATACAAACAAAACATGCTGCAAGAAAATGTGACAGAACTTGTGCTTTTCTGCAGAGTTAACACGCCACAGTTGGTATGCAGGATTTCATATACAAACCAATAGCAGCGGTTGTTTTGGCTTAAAAGAAAATCTCCTCTGATCTACGGTAATTATGCAGGCGCCACATTCTTTATTAAACCCAGCAAATTTCACCCCCTTTAATTCTTTATTCTTAGAGTACACTGTTGTCAGCAGTTTGTCAGAACAACGGCAAACGTGTGAGTTTCATCATCGTCTCCATAGTCCTACCTTCCTGCCTGAGTCTCATCTGTGCTTGTGCCGTTGTTATTCTCCTTGTTGTCTGTTTCTGACTTTCCATTCACACTGCCCAGAGGCTCTTCTCGTGGAGCAGGCTCACCAGTGGACATATCACACTCATCTTTGTCAGCTTCCATGGCTAGCTCATCTGTATGGGCTATGGTAACAACGGAAAGAAAGTTAAGTGAGACGAATCCCAGTTCACATGGAGAACTATGTAAATTTACACAAACGAGCCATTCATATGAAGCACATGTAAGCAAAGTGAGAAAGACTCGCAAAGGTGTTTTCAAAGTAAAAGCTGGAAAACACTTACTTTTGGTTTCACAGTTTATGTCATCCACTTCCTCGTCTTCATTCTCCTGTGAGCATTTATCATCATCATCATCATCTCTCTGCACAGGAGACATAATCACGATGTTAGCCAAGAGTTTCTCCACATACACTTTGAGACATAGGTGCTAAATGCATGTGAGCTCACCTTTAAGTCATTTTGGTCCCCTTTCCTGGTTCTCTTCATTATTTCTTCAATTCTCTGAAAAGAAAAGTGATGATTATATTTTAATAACTGATTTCTTTGATTTGGGTTTGCATTAGACGCTGATTACAATGCCGCTGTGGTGAGGATCCTTGAGAAGAAGACTAATCCTAAAAGAACATTCTGGCTAAATAAATGCTAAAAGACAAGTGTAGGCAGATGATAACACTGCTAGTTGAGTTGTCGGTAGCTGACTGTGACTGACTTGTCAAAAACGGTTTGCTTAATCTGCTATTTTTAGATCAACTAGCCTCAAATTAAAGGAAGGTTCCCTCCTTTATCCGTCCCTCCATACATCCATCATACCTTCTTCCTTTCCATACGTTCTTGCTGGTTCTGCTGCATAATGCGATCTCTCTCCTGACGGACTCTTTCGGCCTCCTCTTGGGCCTTCGCTTCAGCCTCCTCCCGTTCCTTCTGAAGCTCGGCCTGCTTTAGTGCTTCCTCTTCTGCTAGTTTCACCCGTTCCTCTTCTGCTAGACGAGCTTCTTCTTCTTCTTTAATTTTTCTCTCCTCTGCAAGCTTCTTTTCCTCCTCGAGGCGTTTCAGTCGAGCCTCCTCCGCTAAACGTTTCTCTTCTTCCTTTCTCAGCCTGAATAAATCAAGAAAGAGCCGCATCGTGTCACATCTACTAGTGAACAGGATGAATACTTTCAGCTTGAAAATCTTAAAAGACTAGTGAGCTTTGTTCGTTGTTCACATGCAGGTATACACTGTATGATTACCAGAACATGCGATTTCGTTTGATTTAATAACTAAACTTTACCGCAGAATATTTTACAGCAAATTTAACAGTGCTGCCGATTGTGCTTTGCTGTTTTCTTATCTGATGCATTGCTGTGATAAAACAAGAGTTATTCAACAGCTTCCATAACTTTACCTCTCCTCTTCCTCCCTCTGTATCCTAAGCTGCTCCTCTTTCTCCTTCTGTTCTCGCATCAGTCTGCGGTTTTCCGCCAGGATCTTGGCTGCCTCAGCGGCCGAGTTAGTGCCAGCCTTTGAGTCTGAGAGGTGGGGAGACAAATATAGAAGATACGTTTAGCGCTTTCTGTCACCATGACACCCATTTCTCCTTGTAGCGCTGACCTGAGGGCACAGCATCTGGCCCTTCATGGGACACTCGAGGATGAGTGATGACTGGGAGATAAGAGCCCTTGATTGGTGGAGGCGGCCAGCCATGGCAGAGTAAGACAGAAGCAGAATAGACAAGTGGCCTGATACAGTGTTGTGTAACTTTCACATGATCTCTCTGTGCTCTTTGAGAGAACTCTTCACATACTGTACAGTGCATGGGGGTTGGGCAACATAATAATACATGCAATAAGGTGAAATTAATTTCTCTATCATCTGAGATTTTACCACTTCATTTATATCGCAATATTTTTCTTTTTAATATTTATCAGTTTATTAGGTTAATTAATATATTAAGGTTATTGTGTGCAATGTTGCAAATATCTGAGCAGAAGTGTTAAATGGACATATTGGTACTTCTAACTGCGCATACACTGAGGAAGTATTTAACCTTTTTCATACAGTAAACATCCCTAAACTGTGCCATGATCAGTAGTTTTGTTTTTACGCCTTCCTAAAGCACAGTGAATTAGTCTGTGTCTGGATCCGTGCAGTATGAAACTAAAGCTATTACCTTGCAGAGCATGAGTCTCTCCAGGAGGTGGCAGAAGCAGCAAATCCAGACTTCTAACAGGATGTGACTCCAGCTGGGACCTAATAGGTCTCCAGCTCTAGTGAGATTTATTGCAACTCAAGCTGCTGCCACGTCAGTTTGCAGCATGCACACAAACACAATTCTGTCCATCGTCTGTCTATTAAGACAAATAATAAAACTCTGTTATCTTCAACCAAACTGACTGCTGTACTAAACCAGGATCACAGGCAAAATTACTAATTTATTAATTTTGATTTTCGTAATTTATTATTGCTCAGACCTTCCCTCTGGAATTTCTTATTGGATCCAAGAACTCTTGCCTTTTATTTATTTATTTTAAACTTCTGTTGCACTCCCTTAATTTAGTGGAACTGGAACAGGAGTCTGGACTACACGGAGAACAGCTAGCAAGAAGCCTTTGTGTGGAAACAATCGTTTATTTTGGAAAGATTAAGGAATACCCAATTATTTATGGGTAATTCCTTGGACTAGGACATGCTTTAGTAAAATACCAGAGAACAAAGAAGTTACTTTAATATTTTGTGGGTATAATTATAAGTAGGTTTGGTCCTACATGGTAGAGAACTTGAATCCTGTTTACTTAGTAAGATGAATAGGATTTCAGCTTGTTACGCTGGGTCACTTCAATTGCTGAAACTGAATTTATGTTTCGATGCATCAGAGCAAACATCCTGGCTGCTAGAATGACAATCAGTGTCTGCAAATATTGGCATGACAATCTACTGACAATGGGTGCTGAATCATGCATTTTACTTTAGGCTGTATTATTATTATTATAGTTAATTTCTTACCATCTTTGTCTTTGGTCTTGCTGGAATCAGAGGACTGTGAAGCCACAGCCTGAACAGGACATAGATCCTTGGATTTGGAGTCCCTCTTTCGCAAGGTTGGGGGCCCTGTTGGAGTGAGTGATTGCTTTTGGATGGGTGGGGGCTTGCTTGATGTCGGCTGGGGAGATGGGGGCCGTTGTTTCATTGCGCCTGGCGAGGGTGGACGCATCTTAGGACTTTGCCTGTCGAAAGAAAATGTATGTTGTGTTCATTTTTGATTCATAATCAAATCAAAATGAAAGGTTGCGATCAACCAGTCGAACAAGTTAAATAGAAATAATAAGTGAAGCTGTGTTGGAGTCTTACTTGGATGCTGCTGGGGAAGGTGTCCTCTTTGGAGCTGGATTTGGGGCTGGAGACGGTGAGCGGTTGCGTCCCAGGGAAGTGGATGGGGAGGCAGGACGTTGGCCCCCAGATGTAGATAAGTGCTTGTCCTTCTGTAATTTCACACAAAAAATAGATAGAATTGGAGAAGGCAAGCATGAAATTCTCTAAAATAGGATTACTTCAAGAATGCAAAAATTCCCATAAACTCTTTTCCCTAATATAAAATAATAATGGAAATGGAAAAATCATCCTTTTATAAATAAAGCAGTTCTAAATCATGCAACTAGATTGGGCTGACAGCAAAAAAGAGAGGTGTATTTAACACGAAACAGGGGAATGAAGTAGCAAATGAACTAGCTAATATTAAAATTTACAGCTAAACTCCTGAAGTTAAACTCTTCAAGTCTGCCTCTGCTTCTTATAGTTTTACTGGCACATGACTTTGACGCAATGCTCTGGATTTAATTAATCTATTCTTAATACCCACTGGCTGTGTTTATTACTGTAAACATGATGACAGAGAGCACAGCGCATACATGTGACTCTCAGACAGACACAAATATAACAGTGCTGTAAACCCCAAGCCATTTTTACTGAATACAGAATAAGCTAAATTTGCTACAATGCTTTTTCTGTATCCATGTGAGAAACTGTCCAAATAAGAAACTGTTTCAGCTTTAGTCATAATCCTATTTGAGAGAACAGGAAAGACTATGTGATAGAGTAAACAAGCAAGCTCCAGTTTTATAACCTGGTAGAAATTAATTTCCTTTTCATGTGCTACTGGAGCAAGAACGGCCCGTAGACACAGTGCCACTTTGTCAAGGAGAGAATTCATTGTAAAGACACACAAAAACAGCTATTAACGTCTACACTGTGAACATAAATTCTTCACATCATCTTTTCATAAGCAAAAAAAATGGCGAAAAGGATTCTAGTGCAAAATCTAGAGTGTATCTTTAAACTATTAATACTGTTTTCTTAACCTGATACTGATCATTTGTTTTGAAAAAACAAAAAAACAACAAAAAAAACATTCCATTATTTTGAGCTGACATGTAATACAAGCAGGCAGCTTGACCGACAGAATTTAACCCAAATGTCAAGCAAATTCTCAGTGCCAAGCATGAGGCTGTGAATTTCAATTATCTTCACACCAGGGTGTACATGTGGAGGAGAAGAGACAATGAAATGGTGAGAAAAGTCAAAGGCTTTTTACATTAGGCCCCAGGGTCTGGGAGGGGTCTACTTTGCATGGCCTGATCTGTCCATAATCAGGCCACTGTGGATCTCTTTGTCTCATGCTACGACAATGAAGCCCTTCACCACCACAGAGGAGGAGGAGGAAGAGGACAGGCAGACAGGCAGGTTATGAGAGAGCGCCAGGCACTACAGGCCACCAAGTGAGAACACTGAGATAGATTAAGATGAGTCGCAGTAGGATAAAATTCTACCGATGTATTAACAAGTTTAAATTATGAGCAACCAGCAAAGGTCAAAGAACAGCTGGAGGAACAACATTTCCCTATGGTTAGCATCCAGCAGAAATACTTTGACAGGCAAATGTAGCCGGACGCGTGCATATAAATCAGAGTTCACTGATGTCATTTCAGAGTCACTGATGTCGTGTCAGTGTAGGAAAGCAGGCACCTGTGTCCACTACTAATACACCAGTGTGCCTTTAACTCCATCCTGGTTTCTATGCAGCTTCTGGAAAAATAATCCCTCTCTTCCAGTATAACAAAAAAATAAATAAAAATGTGTTAATGTGCTAATAAAATGTTTTAAAGTCTGTCCTTATTTCCCAAGTCAAATTCAACGACTCTCCCACAGAAATAAAATCCTACAGCTGCTGCTAATTCAAAAGCAAAAGGTGGTTTCACAAATAGTAACTTGTACTGTATATTATTACCCAAAACATGTATTTAGTGTTTTTCTGGCACTTTCAGGTACTAAACATTCAATTATCTTTCCATAAACACAACTGCATACTGCTACTCAGGAAATTCTCATGGTCCTACACATATGCTAACCCAAATTAATCTATTATTACTTTGTAGTTTGAATACCGATAAGATCAGAGATGCTATCTAAATCCCTGCAACCAGGTTAGTCCATCAGTACATGCAAACTGGCTGACTGAAACAGAGATGTAAACTAATCCAACTTTATCCTTGTATTGTAAATAACTTAACTTCTTAAACTATGACATCATTTTACAGACATTACTCTTTTCATTTTGTAAGTGTCGGGTTCAAACATTTCTTTTTTTCCGCAGGCGAATGGTGTTAGTAACATTTACGCCAAGAAGTATCCTCACCATTGAAGGGTCGAGAGCTCCATCGGCCGACACAGACGTGGTCATGCCGCTCTTCTGTCGGTCAATGCTGCGGCTGCGCACGGGTCCACGTGGCGGGTGCAGGGGACTGGCTGAGGCTGAGCGAGGACACAGGTGACACTCTGGTAAAGGACACAGTCATCGCGGGACCAGGGGAGCACAACCAATGGGAGGAGTGATAAGCGACCATGTTGGGCAGCAAAGCAGCAAATAGCAAAAGGAGAGAATAATAAAAAAGAATTTGGGGAAAGACAGAGGGATAGTTGAAGAGATGAAAAAGAGAAAGAGGGAGGGCAGTTGATGGTTGATAGAAATGTAGGAGAGTGTTTTTGTGAGGGGAGAAGAGCACAAAAAAAAAGCGTTTTGTTAGATATAGCAATTTATGCAGGCAATAGCTTGATTTCTGAAGCTTCGAATGGGTTGGAAATTACTGGGGACATGATGAGCAGAGAGCAATAATCTTGCAAAAAAAAAAACCCAAACACCCCACAGGTGCCAAAGCTTCTGGACACAACATGAACGAACTGGAACACCAAGCACCACAACACAGCAAAAACTACATAAAACCTACCACCAACACAGTACAACAAACACTGACACTGCACACACACACCACACAGATTTATTAGTACACTAAACACACAACTGATGTTGATAGTGTAACCTGTTGTGCACAGTAATTACAAATTGAGTGTAATATGCAGTTTACGTCCTCTCAGCTATCACACTGTAACTGTTCCAGTTCCAGCTCGATTTCAACTGTCTGTCAACAGCAACAACTGATCTAAAATGCTGATGCTTTGTTGCAAAATAACTATAAACCTGCAATGACTGAAAAGTACTTTCTTTAGCATCAAGTCTACGTAGAGGGAATAGTGTTCTCCCCTGGCTTGCTGTGTCAGATTGAGGGATTAGTCACCATAATCCCAAGACCTGAAGAACTCTCCCTGCTGCAGCATGGTCACAAACGTGTTCTGTAATTTATTCTGTGTGCATGCTAAGCAGCACCGGTGACTATGGAATTTACCCTGTTATGAGTTACCACTGCTGCTGCTAATGTGGATGCATCATGTTTCTACCGGGGCTATACTTAGCAGAAGATCTATAGCCACTAATGGGTTTGTAATGGCCAGTCGATAAACACCACAATCTAAAACCAACACCAGGAGGACAGTTGCAGCTTTGAAGTGAGTCAGTGCTTTACAGTATGGTTCTTTCTATCTTTGAAAACATACATTCAACAAAAAAAAAGCAGTATTCATCTGTGTGCGTGTGTGCGATTCATTACAGGCTGTCTCCAGGCTGGGCCTATGTATGTTCTCAACTGCTGTCATATGTACTCTAGATCATCCCCATCACAGTGCTACACATTAAAAAAAAACAAAAAAACATTCACATAAAATGTAAGCCACTCAGTGAGACACAAAACTCCACCTAGATGGCTTTATAGCATATTTTACTACATAATGTTGGAACAATTTGATTTGTGTGACTTCAAGTGTCGATGGAGTTCCTTGACACTGGTCTCACTACCACAACACACAGAATAGCACAACAGTCTCATTCTGACGTAACAAGAACCAATAGGTAAGCAGCTTAGAGTAAATCTCCCAGCATGGACCCTGAGGCTCCTCAGATGCAGGGAAATGCTACTGGCCATGTCTGCCCTGCACGGCTCGGCTCGGCTCGGCTCAGCACACAACAGCCAATTGTGTCAGATCTGAGAGTGCGTGTGAGCTGGACATGTGCGTGTGTGTCAATATTTACTGAGTGACTATGTTCTCTCACATGAGTGTACTTTGCTGCCAATTATTATTGTACATACATAAACAGCTGATCACTACAATAGTGGCTTTTACACAAAGAGCTGCAGACAGACTTGGGTAATTCCACCACCACGAGGCTACTATTCACTTTTCAAAGGACTGTTTCAAAAGCATGACAGTCTGCAGCAGAGTACTGGGATGAGCTCATCTAGAGAAGCGGTGCTGGGAGTGACTGGGCGGACTTTCTACTGACAAAATGGCAGTTCAAAAGGGATGGTCAGGGTCTGTGTCTGGCCATTCTTCCTCTCCGTCAGGGTCTCCCAAGTGGAGGTTACCTGGAGCATCTGTTCCTTCAGCGGACAGGGCGGCGGCACTCTTGCTCCTAGCTAGTGAGGCCTGGGTGGGGGTGAGCAGGCGACTAAGGACCCCTCCATCCACAGTACTGGCCGGTGCCCTGCGAGCTACACGGCCGAAAAATCACCGAAAAACAGTAGAGGAGAGCAAAAAGGCCAAGAAGGAAAGAGATGATAAGAATGGGGAATGAAGGGAAAAGGAGGGTCACCATGTGATTTAACAGGGAAGAATCAACATATAGAACCAAAGCCTATGTCTCTATAATCTTACATGGGTTCTTTGTCAACTGTCTTTATCCTTTTAACTTTCAGTGACACTCAGCTAAACAAGGATAGTCAATAAAAGACAGTAAGTAAAGGACACCATGGAAAAGTACTGAGACGGATCAAAGACTGATTGTCTGGTAACTGAAGATCAGTTAAAACACAAGTCAAAGTAGACAATGAGGTCAAATCAATGGTTCCTTGAGGCATAGGAAGGTGTGCTGATGGGAAAAACAAACCGTTAATGAACTTCAAAGACAGCAGAGGAATACTACTGGGGAGGAAGATGAGAAGTGAAACAGATCAAAGACTGAGTAATAGGGTGAGTGACTGTGACCGTGCAAGGGTTCTTTAGCTTCTGCTGTGCAATGTTTTAAATGATGAGATAAAAATGGTGTCACGCTGAAACCATCCAAATATGAAGGCCGACTACAGCTCTTCTAGTAATACATTAGCCAATACTGAGCAAGTCAGCATGTTATACAAGCACTATGATGGACCTTGAATTCACAGCAGAAGCTAAGAGCCCTTGGTTCCATGAAATGGAAGAACTGAAAATTCCCCATTTTGGCTGTTGTTGCTACCTAATCTATGGAGGAGAAATCGTACCAGAAGAAAAGTTTAAAGTGTTGACTGGTTGATTTTGCCACATGTCCCGAAATGCTAGCTCTTCAAAAGGAGATTGCAGATTCTCACTTCCTTTTGTAACCCCTCACTGAGAGGACATCTGTTGTTGACAGACTTGATTTTTGTTACCCATTGAGTGCCAGCCCATGGAGCATGGCAGCATGGCTTGCTGTTGTACACCCAGGTAAATATCTTGGTTAATAGTCCGTGATAAGGTTATTGTCATGAGAAAAATTATGTGTAGGAAAACTGGGGCTAAATAATTTCTCAAACTGCATATATAAAAGCTAATTCAGTATGAATGATGGCAACTGTGTTGTATTTTTGCTCAACATAACCACACAGAACAAATGTGTACAGAACATAGACATCTTTACAATTTCACCAGGACAAAGAGACTGATACGGCTAAAAGACAAACAAAAGCATTGGTGGTTAATGGCAGTACACAGAATGCAGCGAGGTGCTGTGGTCATTTCTGTGCTCTGGTGCTGCTATGATGGGATGGCACTGACATACACCACATTGAAGCACGAGCAACTTAAATCCAGCTATGACGTCATCTTGGAAGGAGAGGACAATAAACACTTTGTGACAACAAAACAATACACTGTTAGTGCAAACAAGCCACGCAACGAAACCATTCCTGTGTTGACACTTAAGAAGAAAACCAAAAAAAAAAAAAAGGTTAGAAAAAAAAATAAAAATCAGCTGTCAGTGAGAAACATGGCACAGTACAGGATCTGGTAGGCTGAGACAGCAGAAAGGTTGGAGTGATGAAACAAGCACAGTGCTCCGAGTAAAACGGTGTGGAGAAACTAGCATCTGCGTAGAGGGTAATTGAGCAGTCAGTGAGACAGACTTTCTTTTTGGTGAAGGAGAGCGTAGTTAGAAACAGGGCATATGCAGCATGAGGTGCCCACCAGTTAAAAAAAACCCTTGAGCTCCATGAGGCTGAATTGTGATAAATGAGAATTTAACCCCAAAGCTCCAAGCAGCAGATATTATCATCATTAAAGACTTAAAAACATGTGGATTCAGAATGAGGAAGCCATTAATATCAGAGCTGCATGCTTGTTATTCAGAGATGGAGGCCTAAGCGATGCATGCTGATTGTTCATGCTAGCCACCTTGATCATCCGTTGTCCCCTTATCAGGCTTGGCAGGGGTCTGTGCTCTGCCCACACTTACTCGCGTAAGGGAGGTACTTCTCTTCTTCACAGAACGGCCTACAGACATGAAAGTGGAGTTATAGCCAGGCAGGCACTGGAGGGAATCAACGAACAAACCCCAGAGAAAGTTCACAAGTCATGTGTGCTTCATTTTGCTTTATCCGAGTCATCAGAAAAGGGCTGACAGCAGCTGATGTCCCAGAGTAAGACATGTGGCTAATTATACAGACAAGACTTTCAACTGTCACATCTGATCTGCCCTGACTCGATTCCTCTAAATTGGTTTCCTATTTTAGCATAAATCTGCACAGCTTTCAGCAATCAGACCAAATAACAAGCAGCAAGCTAGCTTGTTATGTGGTTGTCATAGCAGTGGTAAAGCTGAATTTATAATGTAGAGGTTTGACAAATTGTGAACTGTGCATCATCTTTGTTAAGAAAGTGGGATGGAGAGGGAGTCTTTGGCACCTGTCTGTTCCACCTGAAGCTTTTTGCCGTCTTCCTTACTGGCCTGAGCAGCATTGCCATTGCTAGGCAACCGGTTACAAGATGAACTCCTTGGTTTAACACCTGAGAGACAATGATGAAACACCCAATGGTGAAATTACATCCCACTATCTTGTACATGACAGAAAAGTCTCTCAGACTTTTTAGAATATACTGCGAATATGATAGGTTGAAAGGTTCAGAAAAACCAAATATGTCAAAGAGGAAATATGGCACTGGCAGTCCACAGGAGCTGTGGAGAGACATTAATCACATGACTTGATTATTTTTTGCAGGATTCAAATGTTCATCTTGAGATATTTTTTGTCTAAAATTCTTCTCGATTCCTTGTAAATCTAAACAGGCTTACAAATCCTGTGACAAAGGAGTGCTTCAAAGAGACATATGGTGAATGTACGCAACAGAATAGGGAGATTTCTGGACCAGAGATAGGTACTAAAGCAATTTTACCAATTTCTCTGTGCACCAGTGAGCCTGGGCGTTAAACCCTGGATATGAAAAAGAGCAGGGGTCAGAGGTCACTGTAGTTATAGAGTTCGTAGAAAAGATGGGTTTGTTCCAGATCGTCTACAGTTAGTCACCTGGAAAAACTCATACACACGTAATCACAAATAAGCATTTACATGGCTGATAAAACAGCTGTCTGGAATATAGCATGTTGGTTAAGATGCAGCACTGGAATGCAGGGTGGCTCGGCGGGAAGGTAAGGGGAGGGGGAACAAACAAGGAAGGGAGGGAGGGAGAGAGAGAGGGAGGGAGGGAGGGAAGAGAGGAGACTTACGTTTGTCAGGTGATTTGATGAGGGTAGCAGAGGAGGAGGATAGGCGTTTGCTGATGCCAGCCTCAGATGGCTGTTTCAGGTTCATGGTGGATGTGGAGCGCTTGTCCACTGAGAGGGAGGAGGAAAGACAGACAAGGGAGGCGGGTTTTACACTGGAGAACAGCCAAGGGGGAGGGAATTCGGGTGCATACAGGGGAGTACAAGGTTCTGCGAGGCTGTAATCCCTCAGGCAAAGGTTAGTAAGTTCTTCATGAAGTGCTTCATTTAAACAGCTAAAAGTGCATAGAAACTATACTGTTTAAAGTGATACAAATTCCCTTTAACCCACTGATGTAACGTGCTTCTAATGCAATGAAACAGTACATGTTTCCATGATAATACATACCACAGCCTTAAATACCATAGCATAGGCATTGTAGTTAGTGAACAACAGATGCTCATGTTAAACCACTCCAAAGAGAAGAGCATCAACAACATTACATTGTCCATGCCAGACCCATTATTGGCTCTTTGTTGAATACCATTCAAGTGGGCTTCCATGCGACTTGTGGCCAGGAAGTGTATGACAGCAGGGCTGGGCAATATCACCTCCAATTATTGTCCAAATAAACTGTCACATTTACATTGGTTTAAAATGTTTAAAATTATACTGTAAACACACTTGTGCTTCAAATAGTCTTTAAAGTGGGCAGTTTCAATTATATGCACTGCACTGCCTTTCAATGGCTAGTAAGAATGATTTTCTTGTTACTTGAGGAAGTGAAAAATGACAGCTTGAACTTAATGCATCTGGAGTAGTGCCATCAAACACTGTGCAAGGGGCTGCTGTATCTGAAAAACACCCTGTTGTTAACTTTTCTTGGGCCTGCACTCAATATTCTGTGACATGGTTGTGTAAAGATGCTGAAACAAATTGGTGGTGTTCCTTTTTGCACATAACTTTTTTTTTTTGCACTGAATATAGCTTTGTTTGTACTTAATGAAGCCAAGTGTGCCCTCAGGACCAAAATAGCTTGCTTTCATCTGTAGCAGTTGTTCCTCTTCTGTACCCTTTACTGTTTCTCTTTTTCCAACATCAGGGTGATTTTCATTGTCCTCATGAGGTCTCAGTGCATGCACCACATTAACAAAAATTGCTAGCACACACTAACTAATTACTATTGGCTGCTTGCTAATAAAGTGAGCTTTGATTCTTTGTTTAAGTTAAAGGCAAAAAAAAGACTGTGTAAATGAATTCATTTATTGAGCATATCAACATAAAAACTGGGATAAATTGAAAGTTCTAATATCGACATATATGTTTATTTTGCCCAGCCCGACTGAACAGTGCAAGTGAGTGAAAACCTGAAGCTACACGTACAGCTAATAACCAACCCCAAAGCACTTTCAGAACAAAAGCCTCATACAAAATTGTTAGTGAAAAACTGCCAGTTAGAATGCAAGTGGGGATGACAGGACGGGGAGTGTTGGTGGAGGGGACAGTAGTTAACCCAGCTATCTGTGTGCCAGTGCCAGTTCATGCTGTGTTGCTACATTGGTGAGCAAATTATCAACAAACAAAACCTTGTCGATTCCTCGGTGGCTTTTCTGGCGAGGCAGAGGAGATAACTATAGTTACTGGAGATGAGGCACTGGCATCAGAATCTCCTGTGGGAAAACACAGCTCTCAGGGAGGAGCAATAAAACACAAGATGAGGCACATCCTTCATACAAGGAAAGAGAGATGGGGGTGAAAGCTGGCTGACAGCCATCAGCCTTTGCCTGACACTCACGGCCTAAAGCATTAAATACACTGACTAGCTAGACTTTGTGGTGGACAAACAGTAAACTGACACTTGATTCTTTGTATATCTGAAAAACAAATATATCTGTAAATAACCAAATGTTTGACTGCATGTCATGCGTAATAATACCAGTTTGAGAGCATGTTTACAGGTAAGGGTGTTGTGATCTGACGAACATTATGATCAATTGCACCTCAAACCATCTAATCTACCTTTGTGCTCAGTTGCTGGCAAAAAAACAAAAATGGTTTAAACTGCTTTTATGCATGTTGCAACTGGGTTTCATTCCAACTGTAGTAATACAAGATCACATTGTGAACCACTTTCATGTGCTGTTCTGAAGGGGTGAGGAGTTCTTTGTGTATCTTAGTGTCTCTTAAACGTGATGTGGCAAGTGGATGGTCAAAGTCTGGACTAAGGTGAAAAAAGAGTCTCTACCTGTTCGTCCATCTGAGTCTGGGGATAGTCCTCCCCAAGACCACCTTTTCTGTCGCTGCTCCACTCGCTGACTACGCTCCAGTGTCCGCCTCATCACTGCCTCGTAGTGCTCCTGCATTATAACAAAAACAGAGGAAAGGAAACATGCAAGTCATTTACAGCAGAGTAACATTTGCCCTTGAAACAGAAGCAGATGAGGTGAGATCTGTGCAGAGTGCAGTTGTCGCAACAGTGTATGGACAACCATGCTGTTTCCCCCTTTTAAAAAAAAAAAAGTAAATCTGTGTTTCTATGTTAATTTATTCACAAGAATCAACTGAGAAACAATAAAATTAAAAAAAAAAACTGCTCAGAAGACTCTGCCACCCCCCTTGTTGCAGCTACCTTTTCCTCTTCCTGTTTCTGCTTCCTCTTCTCCTCCACGGCCAATCGCTTCTGCTCCTCCTTCCTTCGCTGATCCTCAACTTTTTTCTGACGTTCTTCCATCTGACGCTCCACTTGCAGCTTGGCCTTGCGCTCCCGCTCCATGATCTGAGACTCTCGCAAAGCTGACCACATGTACAGTAATGTGAATACATGGACAGGAGGTGTGTGCAGGAAAAAAAGTGACTTATTAGTATGTTATCTTATTTGTGTGGAATAATCACTTTATTAAGAGCCTACAAAGTAAAGTAAGGACTTTCTTTGATTTAAGGCTGTAACTCACTATATTTTCTATTTAGCAACCCTCTGAACCCCAAAACCTGCCAGTGGGTCTGATAGGCTTTTGTTTTTTTTATATTGCCAAAATCAAATCATTTATGATTTTAAGAAACTGTACTCTTGGACAGTCCTTGAACTAATCATGTGTGACTATGTTTTGTCAGGACACCCAAATCTAAGAATATAATTTGGATGTTTCATGAAATTCCCTTCATTCTAAATGTCTTGTTTAAAAAAATTAACAATAATAACAATTTGTAGTAACCAGACAAAAAAACAAACACAAATTCTGTGCTCCTCTTTGCAAACAGGAAGCCATTACCCGACTCAGCTGCAATTAACAGTCATGTGACATAAAAATTCAGGGACTCTTTTTGCTTCACTGGAATTGGACTGTGTTGTACATAAAACAGGCAGGAGACAAGTATGGAAACAAATTAAAAATGTAAGTTGTAAAATATCTATGATATGTAGAGCTAAAAATTGTGATAGGAGCAAAAAAAAACACCCAGAATCGTCTAGGGGTTCAGAGGATTCATTTGTATTTTCTTGATTAGGTGATTATAACTGGGATTATACAACGTCACAAAACTGCAAAAATGCTCTTTATAATTTAATAAATCCCAAGGTAACATCTTTATAGGTCTTGTATTCGTCCAAAAATATAAATATTTTGAATATACTGACAATTGAAAATACAAAATCTTAAAAGAACCTGGAACCAGCAAATGTTTAGTATTTTAGTTTCAACAACAGGTACAAATTAATGTTCTGTCTGCTGGCTATTTGATTTGACTATTCATGGTAGCCTTGCTTTGGCTACATTAATTTCCCACAGAAACTGGGATTACTCTCTTACCCTGTTGTTTCTCTGCCTCCTCTCGCCTCTCTTTTGCCACTCGCAGTCGATCGTCTATTCTAAGTGAGGCACCGTCAATGACTGCAAACATACATGCATATAAAGTATGTGGTTAAAAGGTAAAACATGTGCAGCAATACATATACAGAGAGCTTGAGGGTGGATTACAATGAGGCGTAGTGTTACATAGGCTTTGTGTGAGGCAGGGCAGATGTGTGCATGTGACTGTCATTAATGAGCTTTGTCAACTGTTACAGTAATAAGATGATGACTAAGGTTAACCTGCAATAAGCCACACTGAGAGGATGGTGGAAGTGGATTGTGTTGCATATAATGATTGAGCTTATGGAAGACAATAAAGCGGTGACAGGGCAGCATCTGTGAGAACCAATCTGTTTGTGTGTCAGGGCGCGGTGTCATTTACCTGGCTTACACCCCTGAGGTTTAGCTGGTGGTGTGTTGGTTGTAGGTCCTGGGCTGTTCCCTGCCAAGCTGCGCCGCTCCTCAGCTTGTGCCTGTGCAGCTGCAGCTGTATGTGGAACACAGAGACACTCACAGTTTACACACAAAGAACTACAGTCACATGATGTCATGTCTGGCCAAGCAGGTATTTCAAATAATATGTAGAAAACAGAACTGCTTCTGGTACGCCAAACCAATGAAGTCTAAATCAGCTGTTTTTCTCTGTGCTTTGTTTGCTTTCCATAGGAATGCTAGTTCTAGAGAGATCCAACGGATTTGAAGCTACATAACAATCCAGCTATTCAGCCATCAGACATAACGCCCCGCTCATGGTCAACCCTGTAGCAAGGCATACACTGCTTTCAATGACGAGCTGGGAGGAATGAGCTGCAGTGACAAACATATCACCCTTGTGAGCTTCCCGGTATACAGTTAATATCCCTGGGGGTGCACAACATCTTAGACATAACTTTCCAAAAAACAAACAAATAAAAGACAGGGATTACAACTATGTTTCCAAGGTAGCCAATAAATCAGCTCTTCCATTTGACCACCACAGGGTCAATAGCACTTTTTTTTTTAGCCAAACTATTCACTTGAAAATCATGGTTAGAAGATACAAGGTCAGGAAGGAAGGAAACCGTAAGGACATGATCAAGCTTTATGAGCCTGTGCATCAGTCTTTTCTCTGGTTCCTTTCCTTTTTGTTGGCGTGCATTCAGCCTTGCAGAACTGCTGACAAAGAGCAAAACGATAGTCAGCCCTGTGATACTCACAGTATTGATCAACACTTCTAAATCTGGTCTGAAAGTCTCTCACTCTTTCTCCATTGCTAAGAGAAAATCTTATTGTTCTCATACACACAAAAAATAACACTTTAAGTTCACAAGACCACATATGTATGCATATGTTCCACTGTCTTTTTAAAAGGACCAGACTGCCTCTACAAGTTTTAGTCCATATATGGTACTACAAATCACTTGCACTTTAAATCACCACCAACTAATATGGCAACATTTAGACAGGTCTGACAAAGTCTTAAGAGTGAATTCCTTAAAATCCATGCATTCACCTGAGAGACAACTCACAATTTGAAAAAAATATGTTAAGCTTTAGGATACTATTAGATGTGCATATGCAATGTGTAGCAACTGTACTAGAACAGAGGGGAAAAAAAAGAAAAAAAACATTGGCATGAAAAATGTCAATTATTAGAGCTATGATACCGCATATTAATGTGAATAAACAATCACTAGATTTTCCTAGTGACAAAAAAACTCTGTGACCTTTCTGAAATCGTGTTCCAGCAAAGTCAAATCAATATTCACCAACAGTACTTAGAATCATAGGCTCCATTATTACTGACTTACTTTAGCATGGCTGTGGCACTGTGTGCAGAGTCATGATCATATGCACCCCTGCAAGCAGGGGATAATCGTAAATGCCTTTGGTCTTGCTTGGAAGCAAGGCTAAATCAAGAACTGCAGCTAGTTGCACTAAACTGTTGTTGGCTAAACATATGCTAAGCTCAACATGTACCACCAACAAGACCTTCATTTTTAAGGTCTTTGTAGTATAATCATTCTTAGTACGTCAGAAGCCCCTGTGTAACCAGAACGCTCCAATACTTCTATAGGTTTGTGCTAATGAAAACTACAGATTTTCCATTGCTTTACATCACTGGAAAGAAGCAGTAATACAAGATGCAGCCTTATTAGCCACCAAGCTAAGATATAGACATTTGTCTCCAAAAGAAAGAGCCATAGAGAATTTGAATGGTTACATAAGGCACTTAATGGCCATCAGCAAAGTAAGCAACGCCTTTTACCATGTTGTTGTTGTTGTACAGAAAATCAATCATGTTGTACCCACCACAGGCACTGATCATGGGGTATGTTCAAATACTCATACTAACGCACAGATTATACCCTATATAGCATTTCAGAGAAAGATTTAGTATGCCCCAATACATAGTATGTCAGATTCAGTATGCCAAAAATATCACTATGTCCTACTACATTCGGTCGCATTTTGCAGTATGCAAGCCTGCATGTTTTCTGACGATTCTGACCCACAATCCTCTGCACTGAGAACACACACACACACACACAAATGACATTTCCTTTTGCACTACAAGACTGAGAAGGATATATGGGCAAGATGGTCAAAGCTTAACTATTATGATGAAGTAGTACGTGCTAATTGCACGCACATTGCAGGCAACAGTATGTACTTTGTAAGAGCATCTGCAGCACACAATTAAAGTAAAAAGAAAAAGCATGTGATATGGAACAAAGCCATGGTTTCCCAGAGTCAAACGTGGCGTGCATGTCCTATCTTTATGGAAATCAACTCTACAATCAACAACATTACTCTCTGGTCAGCAGAAAGGAGGACATGTCTTTTTTACATGAAGTAACAAACTGCCAAACTGAGGGCTAAGCTATGTTCACTCAGCTGTTTGCACTGTTGAATCAAAGAGAAAAGTATGAATGCAGACAAGAAGAAATAAGGAACTTAACAGGGTACCTAGGTACAGATTTTGACAAAACAATCCTCTTGAGGTAGTTCTGACAAACCAGATATGAGAGTGAGCAAGAGACGGACACCGCAAAGAGCCATGACAGGTTATGTAGTCATGCACCGATTATCTGTTTTAAACAGCAGTGTCAATGCTGCCCAGTCAAAGAAGCTTATGAAGGGTCAAAGTCTACAGCTAGCTCTCTGTTGAAGTGTAGAGGTCACTTCACTTTTGCCCCCAAACTCCCATCTTCACTCCTACTAGTGAGTAGGCTTACATTCAACAAATGACAAAAGATCTGACCACACTTTAAACAGCTCTGCTGATGAATATTGTTAATTGTACACTAATGATGACTAATTCATCGTTATTAATGCCGTGCCATTACACGCTATATATCTGGGAATCATGCAGTACTGTAAAGAATACAAAGATGCCAAAGTCAACTATAAAACTTGTATAAGCTCACAGCTCACTTGGTTTGCTCTGTTTTTATTGAGCATGCTTTGGTTTGTGTATTCAGAGTATCACACTGAATATTTGCACACAATATACAATAGGTTAGCATATGGATTTTGGGAGACTGGTGAATTTGCTATTAACCTACTGACAACACATTCTCCTTTACTCAAGGGAATCGACAGGAAAAACAGATGGGGCACACTGTGTAACAGGGTAACTGTTGCTAAGTGATACACAGAGCAGCTCGGGATGGATAAGTGCTTCTCAACCATGCTTAGGCCTGTATCAAGGTAGATACGGACTCGAAAAAGAGACAATTCACAGCTAAATAATGAGAACAGAGCAGTAAGGGTTTGAAGGCTTAGTCATGAGAATAGGTGTCAGCTTACAAGCAACAGTCCATTTCAGACGTACAATTCACAGTATTTTTTGTCAACAATATGCAAAACAGCAGTAGGTGCAACATAACATTTATAAAAAGGGCCACTCAAACACTATTACCTTGCACAAAATAATGTAAACAGTTTTGCTGAGAGCTGAAAAATGACATTTCAGTTGTATGATTTTCATCATTACATGGCAGTTAATAGAGGAGCAACAAATAATCGACCTTGTTGACAAAAATCGATGACCAAATAAGTTGCCAAAACAATCCTCCCGAGGCAGCTTTAACAAACCAGACATCAGAGTGAGCTGCGGATGTACACGGCGCAGAGACCTACCATTAAGGCATTACCTCTTACTGGACTGAAGTGTCACTACCTGATGTGATTACATGAAAGCATGGACCACCTTTTCACAATCTGGGGACATACAGGCCAAATTTACAGCTGATCTGCAAACAGAAGAACTGGAGAGAAAATGATAAACCAGAAATATAACCATGGTTTCCGCTGGTATGCTGGAATCCCTGTGGCCCACCAGGCCTACTTTTAAACTACATTTACAGTGGGGCAGTATTGTTAGAAACAGATTTAATTGTTGGAAAGCTCACCAGCAACTTCTGACATTCACAGCTCCACTGAGTCAACAAGGTATGCCCAGCCTCGTAGATCAGTAAGGTACCACTGAAGCTACAAGAGCCATCAGTCTGTTCCTTGTCCTCACGAGCCCCCCCATCAAAAAAAAAGACGTTTGACCACAGTGGTGTAGCTTACTTGCTGCCACATCGGACTGTTGTGTCTTTACCAGCCCTCTCTGTGTGCCAGTCATTCAGGATGTGCATGAGAGCGTGGTGTGTTTATGTTCTGGTTCGTTCACTGGTCCCAGTTTACCAACTTTTCAACATGATATAATAAAGCTGGATATGGGAAACTGAAGCGTTGTAGCAATGATTCACATATGAGCATATATATGCAAATTACAAAAATACACAGCGCTTGTCAAAAATAATGTGAAGCTAAATCTAAAACCTCTGGTTAAATTTAAAAAGCTGAGAGCTAAATAACTGGAATCCAAATAATCAATTATTTTTTAAAATAAACAATAGATTGTCCAACAATGACAATTTCCTTAAGGAGGAAGCAAAGGCGGACAGGAAAGCAAAGGGGTTGAGTAAGTAGCAGATGTTAAGCCAAACAGTACAGATTACTTGTGTGTATAAAATTATGAACTGTAATTTCTACTCTAGCAAGCATTTCTGTGGCAAACATTGAAGCTATAAAGATTTTACTGAATATCACAACCACAGTGGTTTTGTAGTGATGAGAAAGAAGCAAAACACATGCAAAAAAGACCAAGTCAGAAACAGCTTCTTGGAATAAAATGCACGTACTCGCCACTGATACACTCATGTGTTGATTCAAGTGCTTCAATGAGATGGGGGAAGAGATACTGTTTTCCCCAACAGAGCTCAAGAGAGCCAGGTGTTCTCATAGAAATAAAAGCCAATCAGAGCTGTCTCTCATCACTCCATCACTATGGAGATTTGCACACATTAACATACATCATTGCTGCTGCATCAACAACCTCAGCTAAATCTTAAAAGACATTAGACGGACGAAACCACTGCTAATTAACCTGACTGCTAATTATACACCAGACTGATCAATGGCATTTTCTGAGCTAGATAAGCAACTACTTCAGTAAGTGGTTGTGTTTGGCAGAAATTTTGAGCTCCAGTCTGAAGCAGGTAATGTTCCATTTCCACTCAGTCATCATGCGGTCATCAAAAAAGTCATCACATAGATTCCTGTAATGGAAGTTATCCTGTGATGAATCAAAATCTATAACAAACATGATCAATAGAAATTTGCACAACTACTGTGAAACTGGTTTCAGCAGAGTTCAACAGTCTTAGATGGCAGGAGATGCTCAAAAAACACTAGAAAAACATTCTGAGTGGAGCATATATACTTATTGATCGGATGTGCTTCAGCCCACAGGCTACTGGGTTATCATGGTGGCAGTAAAGACCACCAGGGGGGCTGGTGATGACCCAGCTCTGCAGGCCAGACAAAATGCTAACAGGAAACAGGCCAGTCTGTATTACATCACAACAGTCTCACTCCAACTGTAGTTCTCCAAGTAACAAGCCAGATCGTTAGACATATTTCTGACAGCCTGAGTCACAAACACTGTTGATATAGTGGACACAGTCTGAGGGAAAAGCAAGAGTTAGATCAGTGGGTCAGGTCTCTCTCGTTTGTCAGTCCTGCCAACTGCACTTTTTATTGTGCCCTGCAGCATGGTACAACTAAGTAGCTCACAGGAAATGTCTGCACTGCTAAATACAAGGGTTCACCGCCATTTGACATTGGGTACTAAAATTACAAAGGGACTTTTAACTTCTACTAAACACCATCCGATACGATACACTAGCAAAGCAACTTGTACGACCACTACCGTCCTTTTCATTGGTTAATACTGATGTCAATGTTAATACTGGTTTGAAACAAAATCATGAATAATTGGTCCTCCATAGATAAAACTGCAGATGCATGCTCACAAACGTGCACACACATGCACGCACAAGCCCACTAAATCTTCTACGGGATTATCGAGACCTGTTCATGCAAAGGTAAGCCTTGGCTATTTGCAGTACTAGCAGGATAATGATGACACATCCCTGTTTCCAAGGGAGTCTCCTCCACCAGATGGACCAATTTCTCTTACAGAGATGAGCATTAACAGGATTTAATCATTTCCAAATCCATTATCATTTATGATTATGACTCTACAGGGTTTTTCCTGGTTTACAGCGGGCCTTTTGGTGGGGCAACTACCCATGACAGAAAGCACAAGTCTGTGTATCTAACAGAAATCTGTGCATTTTCCTGTTATTTCTGGCCATTCGATAAACAAAAATGTCTATTATTATGAAACTCTAATAAACAAAATCGGTTAGAAAGTTGAATTGCTATTTTTATTTGTTGATAATCTGTAATCTGTAGCTACATTCTAGTAAACAAACTGTAATTACACTTTATTAGCCTATTTCGTCAATAATTGTTTAGTTTCTAGGTCCTTCTGAAGCAAAACAAGTTAGAGTAGAGTGTAGACGCAAACATCCTGTTCCAACAATTTGTGACAAATACACGTTCTGTTACATCTTTGGTACGCCTCATTTGGACAGCAGATCTGTGTTTCTGTCTTTAGCTTGAGTGCCGTATAAAATCAAACTTTACTACTGGCCTCAGAGACAGAAATTGACTGTCTAGAGAAACCGCATATCAAAAACTGGACAATTTGGAACTAATTCTAAATGGGACAAAACTCTTTAGAAATCTGGCAGGGGGACTGTATATGTTCATGCTGATATGTTAACCAGAAACAAATATGGTATCTAAATATACAAACTGATGTCTGCCTGATTATAGTCTGATGTTAGGTCCAGTCCATACAAATTAACATGTTTTGCTATTCAAATCTTAGATTTGTGTGCATGTGTGCACACCCTTACACTGCTATCTTTTATTTTAAAAGGTAAAATCAAAACCGGGTTGGAACATTTGTGGTAGAAGAGCAAAGTTAAGTGGACAGATCCAAGAAACTACACACTGAAGTTGAGGCTGGTTGATTTCCTCCATTGGTTAAATCCACCCAGTTCAGAAATATTTCTCATGCTTTTAATTCTGCAGCAGCATTTGCTGAGCCAGGATCTGGATAACCTTGCAATGTGACTTGCAGTAGTGTGATCTCCTTTCATAATAGCAGGGTACGCTTTCTCCTTCCTCACATTCTTGTGGAAATGACCGTGCACATGAGCTAGATTCCTAACATTATTTTATTATTGTCAGTTCTCCACTCTGACTGAAGGCCGAGCAAACTTTAGCTCAGGACATCGTTTCACTCCTCACAAAGCCAGGATTCCAATGCATAACTCTAAACTTGGTGGATATTTTCATAAAGCCACAGAATAGGGTTCCAGATTGAAAAAAAAAACTGACTGGAAAAGTTAAGGGAAACAGGAAGAAGATCAGCACTAAATATGGTCCAGTAGTTGCCAGGAGTAAAACATGCCTACACCCAAAGTGGGTATGCAGAAAACTCCCTCTCACCCTAAAACACTAAAAAACATCCCAACTGCTGCTCCAGCCATAACAAACCATGCATTCATACCCGCAGATGCAAGCACAGTAAACATAAGTCTGGATTGGGCCAGCTGACGCTTGGATGAAAAGCACTGATACAGACTGCTGTTTCGGTTGGCCTACATAGTACTATTTCCAAATATCTAACGTGCCTTTTGCTCGACAGAACAGTTTGTGACAAAGGGCTGCTGCTCCAACCAAAGCCCCTTATCAATGCATCTAGACAGTCCAAGGAAAGCAATTATACAACCTTACTCTCCTATCAGAGTGCTGTGTTTGACAGAGTCTGACACCCCAGCTTTATCTCAAATTCAGGTCAGACATTGTTGGAGTTGCTCTCCCTGGAGGGTGGAGGGGGTCATGCCATATGTCAACAAATAGGCAAAACCGTCAACCAATGCATATAGGAGCGGAAAGATCACTTCACAATAGATAAGAGAAGCATCTAGCAGGAAACTACAAAAACTGCTGATGTACTGTGAGGCAGCTGATCTGTGGTTGGAGAAAACAGGCTGTGTTTAGGTTCCTACTGAGGGCATCACCTCAGATCGCTGTAAATACAAAAGACAAGCGCAGAAAAGCTTCCTGATACAGAAAGCAGATGGTCACTTCTGACAAGAGTCCCCGAGTGAAGCACAACGTCAAACAAACCACTAGCTTTGGAAGTTGCAAAGCAGCTAGCCAGCTTCGGATATCACGCATTTAGAGGACAAGACAACGTGATTAAAATGCGGTAAAGCCGAGCTAAAGCAGAGCTAAGGCGTGCTAGGCGAGCAGCCCGATGTCGTGACATGTCAACCGGCTCCCGGGCTACAAATGCTGCGTTACAACTTTAGCTAGCACTTTACTCCCGCCGAGTTCAAGCAGCTTCCCCCTTAAAAAAAAAAACAAAAAAAACACCACCATGTGTATCAGCTAGGTTTGGCAAATTCAACTCAACGTGTAACTTTTAATGCGGGAACAAGTTGCGATTTTTCCGCGTCCATTGTGAGCGGATCACCGGGACGGCGAGCTAGCGTTACTAGCTAGAAAAGCTGGCCGCGTTACAACAAACGAGCCGGTAAACGGCGGCGGCGGCTCGCAAACATTACAAACTACACCGAAACACACGAGTGGGTCAACCCAACGGCTACGACTGTCGGAGTTTTTCTTACCCATTTGGGCTCGCAAGCCTTTGAGAGTCGTAGCACCCTCCGCCATTTCTATGAAGTTTTCCTTCTCTGTTTTTTCTACAGCAGGAGCGCGTAACACATCGCTGCCGGCAGGACTCGGACACCGCGGGGACGTGGACGGCAGAGAGCGGCCCGCAGACAGGATGTCTCACTCCCACCGGTTTACACGAACCAGTTGTAATGGAGCAAGCACAAGTAGTTTTAATGCCAAGTAGGTTTTCACAGACGAGAATGTTTGTCCTGGTGCATTGGTGACAACTAGAATATTGAGAATAAAAGATCTTAAAAGGAAGCAGGTGTTGTAAAGCAGCAGACAGTCGGTGTTGTGAGACAAATAAGAAGCACCTGTGGCAAATCCAATGAAATGTAATCAATTAACAGAAATATAAATTTATACAGTGTGCAGGAATGTGCTAGTATATGGTGTACTCAATTCTAAATGTGCAAAGGATAATAATCTCATATACCTACAGGATAATCACTATTTGAACGTTAATTCAACTTAACGCAAGACTGCAAAAACTATTTTGTTTTGTCCTCTTTCAGTTTAACTTAAAGAAAGCATTCAAAATACACATTCAGGTGTGTATCCTCTGAAGACACAGCTGTTGTTTGATATGCATTTTTATTTCTCTTTGCTATACACTTATCTTTAAAGGCTGCTGTCTGAATTTTTTTTTCTTTTGTTTTTTTCTCATACTCTGAACCAGAAATCTACTCTTCAAACTTTCCAGATTCTATATTTTGAAGGTTTTTTTTACAGAGAGGTTTGTTCATCTTGTAATCACAGATTCATTGATGGAACATTTTGTTCATGAAAACACAATCTTCTTATTATCAAATGTTGTTACATATACTCTGAGACTGCTTCATATGTTCATAAATTAATAAATGGCATATCTTATTTATCTATTTATGTGCACACTGGATATGAACCAGTCTTTTTGCACACTGCTACTTTTTTATACAGTATATACTGCACATTACATATTACTAATAATATAGGTTTAAACTTATAAAAAGGCTACATGAACAAATTAATTTTCTGATATGTGTGGTGATAAAAACAGACATCAAAAAGCCCCCTGTGTAAAAACCTTTGACTCTAATATGTCAACAGAATGAAAACTGGAAAGAGATGTGGTTTAGGGCAGGTGTTTGACATATATAACGCCTCGTTTGCACTTTGAGCAATTTCAGACAACTTAGAATGCAAAAAATCAACGTCTTATTGTAAGAAATAACATATATATTGGTTAACAAAAAACATTTTCACTTAAAAGAAGAGTCTAAAAGAACATATTTGTCTGTGGAGAACAATACTTTTTTTTTCTTTTTTTTACTAGTTCAAATAGTTAAAGTAAAAGCAACGAATGCAGTATTTTCGAGCGTCTTACTTGTGTGAAGTCATAACGAAAAGTTGCGCAAACTACAAAGTGTAACACTAATTAGACAGTATTGAGTCATCTTTTTTTAATAGACGATCGAGGTTGGGGGTGGAGGCCAGACAAATACTTGTCACATTCACTGTCACAGCAAACACCTCCATCCGGTGTTAATATTGTGTTACTGCACGCTGATACACATAAAGTTCATCCTCAACAAACACAACACAAGCAGCTCCAGAGCCTTTAAATCAAACGACTGCAAAACTTTAACAAGAAGGTTCAACTCAGCAAACAGATGTTAATGATACACAAATGTTCCAAATAGTTTCAGAGTGTTAGAATGAAAAAAGAAAGACAGTAAACTTGACTGAGAATTTGTTCATCACAAGCTGTTCAAATGAATCTGAAAAGTATTAATGGGAGAAAAAAAAAAGTTGAAACCTTACCAAATTTAATTTGCCGAAGAATCTGCAGAGCTAAAGATGAAGGAAAGTGGTTCGGCTGGCAAACGTCTCCCAATGAGAGAATAACACATTTTCTCAGGACTCTGAGTTGTTTCTCTCACCGTGAACACTGCAGTCTCTGTCCTGGTGCCTCTCACATGCTTTAGCCAGAGGGCCGCTCATCTATTTTACATGGTAAACAGGAAACAACACCGCATGCAGGGTTCAGTTTCAACAGCCTGGATATCGTATTATTTAACACTCAAAGGCAAATCATGAGTGTTTTTACTGTGCACTGACACATGACATAATCTATCAAGAAGGACTCATGTCTTAAGATATTGAGCATTCTTTATACTCTGTACAAAAATGGATGAAAAATTGGGAAAAGCCCATCATTTTTAATTCATTATTTCCATTACAGTGATATCACATTTCACTTAAATCTATTTACTCCAGTTAAAACAATGTCTCTGAGGCCCAACAGTAAGTATTAGGTTCATTTGGTGATCAGGTGAAGGTGTCATACTACAAAGTAGGTCACACATACTGTTAAAGTACAGTTAAAGTCATGGCAACACCCCAAGCGGTCACTCGTTCAGCACAGCTCTGTGTATACGAGCAACGACTTCAGAATTAGGCAGGAGCGCTGCAGCCTGGGCCAGCTGGGGCAGCAGTGTGTAGGTGGAGGTGCGCAGGTACTGGAAAAGGTCCTGGAAGCCTTGGAGATGGGCTATGACCTGAGGTGGGACCCCCAGAGATCGCCCCAGCCTCCTCAAAACATTGACGTTGTCAGCAGAGTCAAGCAGCAGAGACAAGTCCTGGACTGAGTCGTAGTCGAGCATCTCAATACTCTGACCTGGACCGAGTCAGAGGAGTAAAAATACAATCAGGAGTGGACACTTTACAAATGGGCATCCTTCTAAAAGAACCAGAGGTGGAAGAATGTTATTCAGATCCTTTAATTAAGTAAAGGTACCAATACAGCAATGCAACCATGCAGGACAAGTTCAATGAACAATTGTATTAGCAGCCAAAATCAAGATACTAATGTAAAAGTACAAATTTGATTCCCCTGACTAATGTATCATGATATATGACACCGTTAGATTGTCAGTAGTGAAGCATCAGTGTGTCAGCAGCATGTTACTGTGGTAGAAGCTGCAGGCAGAGCTAATTTAAACTACTTTAAATACAGTTTTATACACAAGGACACCAGATAAAGCTAACTAAGAGGACAAAAGAACAACCAAAGTCGTGATATCAACTCTTCTTAATTTTTATACTTTTTCTGTAGTCTATGTTGTTCTATACAGGATCATTTGAACAGTCAATGAATCGAAACCATGTGAGAAGTTTCCAGGAGGAAAAAAATCACAAATAGGTGGAAGTGTTACCACCTCACAGACATCTGTAATGTGAGCCCAACTATAAAATCTTAATCTCAAAAGTAACTAAGGATGTTAAATAAATGTAATGCAGCAGAAAATATGTTTCCGTCTGAAATGTGATGGAGTTGAGGTATAAAGTAATACCTTAAAGTTGTACATAGGAGCAGTACTTAAATAAATTCACCCGATTGGTCCTTTAAAGTAATTGTCCGCTTTGTTGCTGAAATCAATAACTACTTTCCATTAACAAGGTGCTGTGGTTGCTGGAAAACATACCTTGAGCAATTTCCCATATTGTCTGTAGTTTTTGCTCCATCTGATAATAAGACAAAAACAGTGACAGGGGCAAGAAATAGTTAATACAAGTTCTGACATCTTCAAACAAGAACAAAGTAAACTCATATATAATGGATTTTAGTCATGAAAGCTATTAACTAAATAAATAAATACGTAAATAAATTAATTCATTAATAAATAAATAAATAAATAAGTAAGTAAGTAAATAGGTAAATAAATAAATTATAAATACAGTATCAGTGACAATCATTTACATACTTCATACATACATACATATTTCCCTGTTATGGATCAGATCAGATCAGTGATCACTTTCATATCATCGTAGGTTTAATAAGCAAATGTATTGTCAGACTCAAATGTTGCATCTTGTTGTATGTTGTAACTTGCTAAGAGTATTTTTTTATTGTTTGTAGCATTTCATATCTTATGAAAGCGCATTGCATTCACTGTAAAAGAAAAAAAAGAAAGAAAAAAAATTAGAAACCTTATCTCATAATTACGAGATCCCGATATCATAATTATGAGAAAAGGTGTCTAATATTTTTTTTTCTACCCAGTGAATGCAATGCGCTTCTGTAATATCTTTTACCTAACTCGTATAACTTTTTTTGTTGTTGTTATTTTACAGTTCATTAATCTGAAACATTTTTTTGGGCTGTTTCTTTTACAGTCAGCAAGTAAATTGATACATTTTTTATGTTTAAATACGTTCACTTTTTACTGTTTATTTGGAACAGTGTTCATTAAAAAAGATTATAGCCTTCTTGAAAACCCTTGACTAAGTGGCATCTGTGGATTAATCCAATACTTTACTTCTTGAAAAGAACATTTCTAACAGGATTTTCAAAAGTAATTGTTCACCAGATGAAAATCCATTAATTTCACTCGACCTGGCGGGATAGCTAAGACAGCAGAAAACATCTCAGAACTTCAGCAAAGAAAATCAAGATGATCTTCATGACTTGATACCTTTCCATGTCATAACAATTATTTTGTATGTAGAAGATTTGTGTATAATTTGGGTAGTTTAATGCTTCAAAATCCTGAAGCCCAACTCTAAATAAGTTGTGTGCAATAACTTATCATATAAGTTTTTTTTTTAAAATATATAAATAGTATAATAACAAAAATGTGATTTTGTTTGTTTGTTTGTTTTTATTTAGCTTTGTGCAAGCTCTTCAGAAGATCATTTTATATACTAATGTCCAGGTTGAGCTATCTGTGTAACAAAATTGCTGTAGTTTCTGTACATATTCTTTAGAGGATACTTGTGCAGATCAGATATACCTCTGTGGCCGAGTTGTTAATGAGGTGCCTCTGACAATCTGACACATTAAAGCACTTTACCTCCTCTGAGGTGAAGTTTTGTTGTTCCTCCTGTGTGATGTTTGCTTTGTTCTGCCCGGAGGGCTTGATGTTGGTGGTGACATTAATTACAATAGAAGTAGGATGCAACTCATTCTCATGGCTCAGTGAGTTCAGGCCTCTGGGAAGAGAGGTAATTAATGGTGTAAATAATTGCATAGATACAAGAAGAGCATGGAAGTAATGATGCAGCTGCTC